CCCCAAAACCCCAAAACCCCAAAACCCCAAAACCCCAAAACCCCAGGAATATGATACAGAATTGAGAAATATTAAACACGACTGTCTGAATTATTCAAGGTCTTCTTCGTTATCACTTTCGTCCATGAGTGCGTCTTCCTCGTCTCCTTCATCCTCGAATACATCATCAGCATATTGCTCTAGGTCCTCTCTGAGGTCATCTTCTTCATCGCCGTCATCATCTGCGAATCCTTCGCCTTCAACCTGGTCGAAGCCTTGGTCTTCGACGACTTCATCGACATCTGAGATATCTTCCTCTTGATCTGAGGCATCTTCTACTTGGTGAGACATTCTGGGGAACTTGGAGTTATGGGCTGGATCAATTTCCTTCATTTCTAAAGAGTTATACTAACAATTTTACCTTCATCACTGTCATCTTGGGATTCAAGAATAGCTTCTCCACTCTCAACGACCATTTGGAGCTTGGCTCTCACTTCATAATATTTAGAGAGATTTTTTGTCTTTCTACTGAGATAGGTATGAATAGTGCTGATCGATTGCTGTGAATGCATGGTTGAACGAGTGTTCATGTACTTGATGACCTCCAACCAACGTAGTTTAAGAACGATGCTGAGCCACAGAAGGGATGACTTTTGAACTCCTTGTTGGAGCTTAATTAGTATGTTCTGGAGAAGCTGTTGCAGGGTCTCCTTACCAACCTTCTTCACGGTCTGGGTGATCACGTGAGTATCTGTGTTACTCAGGACCCAGTTGATGGTTTCAATGTCATTGGCGTGAAGACTTTGCTCCAAAACTGCTACAAGAGAGCCGGTTTTGAGAGCCTTAATTGATGCCTAAATTAATTAGATCCAAAAGGGTACCTTGCTTGCCTTGCCATCACTAAGAAGAGTCTCGACCTTAGATTCGAGAGAGGCTAGTTCGACTCCTTTCAGAATTCCATGCTGAGTGGTGCTTTGTTGGATCTGATCGAATTCAAGACCCATCATTTTAGTATCCCCGTTTTTGTCAATAGCAGTGCTATTTCCTTTCTCTTTAGGGGAGATAACAAGGTCTGTGCCTGGAGACTTAGCGTTCTCATCAAGATATGTGAACTGGTGGGTATCCAGAACCATTGGGTTACCTTTCAGCACTAAGATCTGTGTATCATTCACAATATTGCTTGTGATAATGAGCTGGTTCTTCTTGATGAATTCCTTGGAAATAGACACTTTGAAGTCGCACTTCTTGTTCTTAAGCTTTGATTTCAAGTTGCAGATGTACCCACAGACAGCATGGGTGCTAGTGCATGCAGCGAAATAGTACTGCTCAGCGATCTGCTTGATCTGCAAGCCAATGTTCTGGCTGGTATCCGTTATCTCAAGCATCTTTGAAGGATTAGTGAGTACCTTCCCATCTTGGGATTCAGAGCTTTTCCAGATATTTCAGAACTGCTCCCCTTCAGCGAGGGTGAGGAAGTAGTCGGTATGAACGGCATCAATATTTTGCTTCTGCTCTACTGTGTATTCGTTGAACTTCAAACTGGAGATCTGGCTCGCATGTCCTTCATAAGAGGTCAGGAACCTATTCTCGGTTAAGGAATAACACAGAATGTTGGATTTGACTGCTAAGATCATTTTCGTGTCTTTTCCATTTATATCAATGGCATGAGCAACTGAGGCCTTGTCTAAGTTAGAGGTGACAGAAGAGGGATGGCTTTTTTTGTTGAACATTGCAAATTTTACAATGTTTTCTAGATAGTTGAGAGAATATGCTTACTTGTCTTTTGAAGTGTTAGATCATAAGCTTTGACGGTACCGTCTTCCGAAGTTGAGTACAGGACATCCTGAATTTTGCTGAAGGTGATAGCGAAAATAGTTCCGAAATGATGCTTCTTTTTGACATCAATACTTCCGTTATTTGATATCAAGTATATGCAGATCGCCTGCACTTGTAGAAGCAGCAAGATAAGCATCTTTCCAGGAAAAGGATACTGAAGTGAAGTGGCTATCTAGAGCAGCCTTCTTGGCAATTTTAAGCTTATGAAGCTGCTTTTTGGTCTTTAGGTCAACTACAGTCACTTCTTTACCCTCTTTGATGATGTTAGCAACAAAGGTGTTATTGCGTCTTGACACCTGTGAAAATATGTTGTTTATGATCTCTTTCTGTGCTCCTTGAGACTCCATGGTGATTTGATAAATATTTATTATTCCATCTTTGGGATGTTTTCTGGGGTTTTGGGGTTTTGGGGTTTTGGGGTTTTGGGGTTTTGGGG